TTAACTTTCATGTTATCCTGATTGATTGAAAGTGTGTATGCTTCACTAAGTTTCTCCTTAATATTTACATTTCTTAAAAATGAATGTGAAACCACGTTTTCAATATTGACTTCATGTTTTTCATTTTTTCCTTTCATTTTGTTTCTATTTCTAAAACCATCTTTTGTCCACATTACATCATATCCAAACAGCAAACATGGGAAGCATTTTTCACTTTACAGTCACAGAGTCTACGTTTCCATTTGTACCATTCAGAATTAAAGCTATGAATATATCTCTTCTTGTTGTTGCTTATTCCTGGCTGAAATATTTGAATATCAGGTGTTGAACAGCTTCTTTTCTTAACTGTAATTTTCTCATGGAGAGACAACTGTGAAAACTTAAGCTGTTGTTAGTTCACTTACTGTTACAGAACTTATTTCTTGGGGATTTAAGGAGGTTATGATTAAATTATTAATATTTTCTATACAATAAAACAGCAGAAAAAAAACAATGAATTAAATAGAATAGCTGGAAGCATGATAGTTATCTACAATTTATTACATTCAAGAATATGGTACACGGTTTTTAAGCACAACACATGCTGAGTTAAAAATAAACACTACCATACACTCTGTGAGATTTTTAACGACTTCCACATCAAGTCAAGCAAATGACAAGGAAGAGACAATTGAATAGTTTTAAGATATTTTATATACAACAATAACATATACATCAAAACATGAATTGAGAGAGTTGCTAAAACATGTACATTTAGCTGTTATAGACAAGCAATTGAGTCAATTCCAATACATTTCAGTTAGAAAGAGATGAGTAAACTTCTGTCCTTCAAACAAAAGTTGTTTGTCTCGGGAGCCATCTGGAAGGTTAAGACACATATCTTCTCTTAAGAGGTTTGTAGGGGCAACTAGGGCCTTACATATTTATATTTACACAAAATACCACAAAATATGAAAAAAAAAGAATCATTCAACAAGAAAAGTTGCACAAGTAAATGGAATTTATATATGCATAACAACAATCATACAAAATAGTAATTCAGTTGTGTTTGAAATGCTAAAATTTACTTGTCCTTGGAATTTTGAGTGAGGAAAATGTTCTTGTTGATAAACTGTGATGTGTATTAAAAAGTGTGTGAGTTTGGAGGACTTTAGTAAGATGTATTGTTACTTGTAAGAGAATTAAACAGTTTGTTACTCACAATGTTATGTTAAGTGTTTCTGTCCTTGTGGTTGAAGGAGTGAATAGATGTTCATAGATGTGTGATGTTCATACGTGTGTGTGTGTGTGTGTGTGTGTGTGTGTCATGACATTTCATAGCATTTTCCCCTAAGGGACAAATGCAACCTCTCCGCTGAGCTACATCTTGTATATGAGAGAAGGTAAAAGAGATGTGTCCAAGTATTTATAATTAATGTGAACCACATGATAGGCTCAAAAACACATAACCAGATTTTAGCAGTAAATTAACTTTGAACACAACTGTGTAGGCGTTGTAATATTTTTCACATATATTAGCCAATCAGAAGTTGGAATTTTAGTTGAAGCTTCTGTGATTCACTTGGTGTTTAGTTTGCACAAAATTTGTTGTCAAGAGAAATATTACATGAAAAATGAATTGAAGTATTTTACAACCAATAGAATTCACTGAGTCAAAGTAATATTATAATTAGGTAGAAGTTGAATACTAAAGGCTGGCTTTCTCATTGAAAACTTGTTTGGGCACCATTCCCTAGAGTTCAGCTGTTTTGTAGTGTCTATACCTGAGCTGCTACAGATTCATAGTAAACTACAAAAATTTAGTGTTCAAGATATGTTTTTTACTTTTGTAATAAAAGTTTTATTAAAAGAAAAAATTGTATATGCCAAAAATGATTCTTATGTTTCATTTGTAATGTTAGAACTACTAAACAAAAAAAAGTCTAATTGTTTAAAAATTGTATGCGGATATAACAGCTGTCAAAATACAATGAAAAACGATCTTTTTTAATGAAGTTATTTCATTCAAAAACAGAAAAAAAATCTCATTGTCATTTAATGACAAACACAAAATAAATTTTTGAGGGGTACACCAATGCAATGTGTTATAAATGTGAACAACATGTTAAGCCCAATTTTTTAAAGTCTCTTGCAGAAATATAAACAACATTGAACTTTTTAAACAGTTATTTTTCTAAATAAAATCTATTTATTCTAAAACATGAATTTTTTTTCTAAATAAAATCTATTTATTCTAAAACATGAATTTAATTCTTTTTTATGTCCCTGCCTGCAATAAAATTAACATAACCATTACATTTTTAGTCAGTCCTAACATGGAAAATAAAATCAGTTAACTGAATTTGAATTTCTGCCAAAGCCACTTATAGTCACATCACACTAATACCATTAAGAAAGGCATGAATCCATTTTGCCCTGTGTTCTTTTTCAATGCTAGGTATCTTGATAAGAGTTTTTCTCATAAGCATGATTAGTAGCAGTGATAAGTGAGTGAGCATTTGAACAAAACATTTTCCCCCATAATTAGTCTTATCTGTAACCAAAAAAAGCTGTTACCCTGAGAGTTAAACGTCACAGAGGCCAATAAAACAAGAAGAATATGTGGCATAGATACTTTTAACTTTTCTATATAGCCATTTCTATTTATCTGATATTAAAAGTACAATTCACCCTAAAATTAAAAAGGTTTTGATTATAAAATAAAGAGTAACATTGTTATAATCAAATATTTTATGTCTATTTGTCTCAACAGATCATTAAATATTGAGTTAGTAGTCTATGTGTTTAACAAAGCATTATGAACAATGTTAACCAGGTTTAACAATAGCACTTTAATAATGGTAAAGAATATAATAGCAGTTAGAAAATAATTTTCTTTCTCTTTGTCATCATAGGAAGGAAGGAACATTTAGCCTTCTTTATCACCATTCCGTAGTGAAATGGCTTTGTTACTCTGTCACTAAAAAAATAAAAAGAGAGACATGTCTCTTCAGAAATACAATTAAATCTTCTATATTTGATCCTGCTCAACAGGCATCAAAGAAGAGGTAGTTATAAAAATGCCAAATAACTCAATAAATTCTCAAAGCTCATTTGATCTCTTCTATTCTCATTGCTATTATTTAAATTTAGCCACAAAAAGACCTCGTTTTTTTATCAAATTCCATATCCCATGGAGTTGGATAAATATTCAACTTCATGGTTAGTTTACCTTTCTTCTGATATTATTGATCACTGATCAGATAATCATGAAAATAAGAGATAAGGCATTTTGGCAATCTTTAACCTTTGTGCTCGCAAAAAAAAACTGTGTCAAAAGGATGGTTTTCTCTTGACACTGCTATTAAATTTATTTTAACTACTTTCACTCCTCAGTAATGTTTATTGTTTTAAAAAGTGATGATTAGAATTTTGATAAAACCTAAACATATGATGAAAGTGAATTTATACATTTTCTTTGTTCTTGAGAATTGACAACAAAAATAATAAACACTATTTATTTATTTGATTGTTGATTGGAATTGTTGGCAAAACATCATTGCCAATCAATTCAAACATTATAAAATGGTAATTAATAAGCATTGGTGCACATTTTAATAATTGGGTAAATGTTTATAAATTTATGAATAAAAAATTGTTTCCATATTTATTTATCTATAAATTGGTAAGTGATAAATATTGATTCCATCAGTTTTAATACAACTTTATTAGTTTTTAGAAAGTTTTTTGTTTATTTACAAGAATAATTTTCTTGTAAATAAACAATCTAATCAATAAAAACTTTAATATTTTTGTTGTAAATTCTCAAGAACAAAAAATAAAATGTGTAGTAAATTCACTTTCAAAGGTTTAGGTTTTAAAATTCTTATCATCGCTTTTTAAAACAATAAACATTGCCGAAGAGTGAAGGTAGTTTAAATAATAGCGGTGTTAAGGGAAAAAAACTGTTCTTTTAAAACACCGTTGTTTTTTTTTCGCACATGAAGGTTAAAGATTGTCAAAATTTTATATACATTTTTCTGTTTTAACTGAGTTATTGAAAATAAATGTTGGAGATTCATGACTAAAAATGCATAATTCTCTAACTAAAGAAATATCAGCGTTAAAGCAAAGCTCATGATTCCTCTATAAATCAAAGTTAAAGGGACGAGTTGTAAACAAAGATGTTTTTTTTTTTTTGCTTATTCTTTTTGTTTTGAAATGTGCTACTTGAATTTGCTTGATGAATTTCATTTAAAATTAATTGGCCTAACTATGCGAAATGATTTTTTTGTTTTTAACTTCTACTAAAAAAGTGTAACATTTTTTTTTTTTTACAAAAATTGTTTTGAAACTATTTTTTAATTTTTTGAATAGAAAAAAAATCGTCATTTTTTTGCATGTTGGTCAAAAAGACTAATGAATCAATCCAATCCTTTCTTTAACAAATTTGACCAAAAACTTCAAATTTCAGTAACCAATGTCTTTTTTGAGACAATAAATGTTTAATTAAATAAAAATAAAAATTAGAACTTTTTTTATAGATTTTTTTTTAAGAAAAAGAATTAATTAAGCAATCAAAGTGCACTAAATTTGTATAAAAAGAGTTTGTAGTGCACATTATTGCTTTTTAAAAAGTTAATCTTTTTCTTAAAAAAAAAAAAAAATCTTAAAATAAAAATATTATTTAATCTCTAATAGTTAAATAAAAATGACAACTTTCAAATGTTATCGTAACAGTTAACTATTCCACAGGTGTCACCTAATGAATTTATTTTAAGGTTAATGAGTCGTTGATGGGGAAGAAGAATAGGGGATGCCGACACACAAAAAACGTATGAATTTATTTAAATGTTAAGTCAGTGGAATTACGATTTGTAAAGCTGTAACTCTGCTACTGCTTGTCGAGCGATATTCTGACGCGCCAGTCAGTAAAGGCTTGCCCTCCTCTTAAGCAAGAAGAGAAATCGAGTGCCGATGTTAAACTTCCACGTTGCTTTCTTATTATCACGTCAACAATCATGTCTTTGCACTATGAACGTCGTTCCAACGAGAAAGGCATTCTCAGTATATTTGCAAACATCTTTATATCTTTTATAGGCGGCGGAGTGCTCGGTTTACCCTATGCTTTTAGAGAGGTAAGTTTTTCATTTTTCAAAATGTTATTTATCTTTTTTTTTTTTTAAGTATTACTTTTCCTTGTAAGTTAATCCAAAGATTTTTAGATTAACTTTTTCCTGACTAGCAATAATCGTGTACTAAAAAGTAAAGTTTTTTTTTTTTTTTTTTTAGCTTTCTTTTAGAGTTTTTAATTAAATGAAGTAAATATGAAGAATATAAAAAATTCAACGTAGTTTGACATATCTCTCGTTTAAGTTTTACATTCCAACTTTAAGACTACTCAACAAGTTTGTTAAATTAATTACCGAAATAAAAGAAAATAGTAAAAAAAATAAAAAGGAGTCCTAATTTCAAACAGCGTTAATAATTAGTAATAAAAACGAACGGAATGAGAAACAAATGCTTTTTTTCACTATTTTTTTATGTCAAAATGAAATAAGCAATTACTGTGTTTAAAATCGCTTTTTTGTTTTGCTTTAGTGTACAAAAAGTCACGTGGTATAAAGTTTTTCTGAGCCATACCAGCTGTTAAAACAAAAAAAATAATTTTTTTCATTTTTAAAATTTTTATTTTCACAGAAATCTGAGCCAGATTATTTTTTTAATGTTTATCGATATTGAGGATTATTTTTACACCACTTAAAATCTCAAAGCCGTTATTGAATTCAAAATAACTTTTTTCTTTGTCATTTTTTCTTAAAAAGTTTAATGAAACTTTCCCTTCCTATAACTTTTCTTAAGTTTTAGACATTATTTTTGTTTTAGATTTTATCTTTTTCGTCAGTATTTTTCAGTTGACCGCGAATTTGTTAAAGTAAAGACAATATGTTGGTTTGATTAATCTTTTCTTAAAGATAACAAATAATCGTTTCATCTGAGACAGTATCACACGTTACTACTTGTTACAATTATTCTTATCTCAGCATTTGGGGGGTGCTATTTATTAAACACACATTTACTTACACTTAAATTAAGGTTATAAAAAAAAAAATCAAGTTGGCAATTGCCAACGGATTGATTTAAAAAGGTAGTTTGTTGATGACTTTTTTTTTTTTTTGGTCAATTTAAAACTTTTTGCCTGAAATTTTTTTTCATTCACTTCAGAAAGTTTAAAAAGTGAAATGAAAAAAATATCATTGGCTTTTTTGTAGCTCAGCAATAAACTAACTTAGGTCACACTACTTACTTATTACACATAAAGAGTAGTAACTTAAAAAATTAAAGTAGTAAGGTGTTGTAAATTGTTGTGCTGTTATTGTGCCAAAAACTTTTTTTGGATAAGTTTACGGGCCAAGAAAACTATTTAAATGATCAAAAACTTCTATTCACTCTTCTATATACATTGTTTAAATATGTGTAATTTTTTTTTTTTTTTTTAAACATATTAGTTTAAAAGTAGCTTAATTCGCCGAGGGTGTTACTAAGTGACGGAATTTTCACGCGCTAGTGCTTATTCGCCACCGCATCATGTAAACTAAACAAGTCGCTAAAGTAAAAACTGTTTCAGGATTAAAATGTAAATTTTGGTCGGGGTATTAAAGGCTGCTAAAATTTAACATTCAATGTTTAATTTCCGTATTTGACCATGAAAATAAATGTCAAACAAAAAATGAATTTTTAAGGGGTACAGCAATGCAATGTGTCATTTTACCACCACGCACATAGCTGACAAGTCACAAAAGTGTTATATAGGTAGCTAAATAAAATTGAGGAAATTTAAAAAGTTAATTTTATCATGTTAGTACCATTTGTGAAAAAAATTGGAGAACGTTATGTGTCCACTGTATAGAACTGGAAATATTTGTTTTGTATTTGAAAAGTAAAAGTTGTTTACATAAAAAACAAACTAAAAACTGGTCACTAGTGTCAGGGATAAATTTTTACACAGATTTTTTTTTTTTTTTAAAGTCCTACCAAAAAGGAGTTTTGTTTTTAGATTTCAATAAAAAAAAAAAAAAATTATGAATGAATTTTTATTAAATTTTTATTTTTCTGAGAAAATTCTTGAGAAAATTCTTAAGTCAAACGGGAACCTAATTTTAGGAAGTCGCAATAAAATTAGCACTAACAAAATTAAAAAAGACAAAACATTTTGCTTGAAGTTTCGAGTGTTGTAATACTTTTTAGTTTTTAAAATTTAAAAAAAAAAAAATGTCGAGTTAATTCGAGCGGTTAGTGGAAGGTGTGAAATAAATCTAAGGACCGGACACATTAGGGAAATAAATACTTCAACGAAAGAAGTAGTTGGTAAATAAATGGAAATAAGAAGCCGAAGTATTAACTTTCTCTAGCAGATGGTTGTTTAACATGAGAAATACCAAGTTAAGAACACACAAGTAAGAATTAAAATAAAAAACATCCAACAGGAAAGCGCGTTAAAAAGAGGAACGGTTGGGCGAAGAACTTGCTTGACAGCTGAATAAAATACAAGGGAGGGAATATCACTTTTTTTCATCAAACTTTAACTGAAAGATTGTAGTGATCGGGGAAGCTTCCTCTTCAAAAGGCTAAATTTTAGCACCTTCCAACGTCCAAGCGTCAGAATTTATCATATTTTTTTAGTCTTCAAACATCTTTAGAATTCTGTATAAATGCGGTCGTTGTAAGAAAAATAACGAAAAAAAATTGTCTAAATTGTCTTTTTTTTTTTTTTTTTTTAAAGATATTGGATTTCCTTGTACTTTTACTACTTTTAATTAACTTTTTAGTTTCTGTACGCCTAAAAAAAATTACTAAATATGCTACACAAGTATTTTTAGTCACAATTATATAAACTTTTAAACTAAGAATCTTCAGATTTTAACAATAACATTGGTGAAAATTGAAAAGTGAGAACTAATAAGTTCCTGTCATTTTTAAAATAGATTGTGTAAAAAAAAAAAAAAAAAAAAAACTTCCTGATTTTACAACAAAAACTTTTGCCAAATAATGTGCTTTAAATCTATGTAATAAGTACTTAAATGATTAGCAACCCATTCACCCTAAAACTGGTTTACTTATGTTTGTCATTGCGATGAGCCTTTGGGGGGATTTTAGATGTGTTTAAAGGAATAAAAAAAGACATGGACACAGATGCAGAAAATGTATATATCAGTTTAACTACACATTTCATTAACTAACACATTTTTTTAAACAAAGAACAGTCTTGTATGTGCATTGTTTAATAACCGAATTTTGTAGTAATTTAATTGCTACATACAATTTTTTTTCTTGATTTCAAAGGAATATTAAAGCTTGAAATACTACTTGTCATCAACATATAGGCATGCATAAAAAGATAAGAAAAGGAAATAATGTACTCAAAAAATCAAAAGGAAGCAGGCATAATAGAAAAAAATGATACCACAAAGATAGAACAAATACACCCGAGATCTGTTCCAGGACAAAAGAGTAGGAAACTCTACACTATAATAAAAACATTAAAATTTGAGGTATGAGTGGCATTGGCTAAAAAAAAACAAACAAACAGCTGGACCAAATGGGATTGTAAATATCTCTATCAGCCTTAGACAATTTTGCGGTCAATAAGATTACTGGAAGTAGTAAAAGAAATATGTGGCAGTGGGCAAATATTGGAAGACCTCAGATCTATTTTTGTAGCAATGTTGTCTAAGTGTAATGAATGTGAACACCATAACACTAACTAAAGTAAACTTATGTTTAGGATTTTAATAAATAAACAAAGAACAGTGTAGCTTTGTTCAAAACCGTGAAAAAAAAAAAAAAGAAAAAAAAAAGGAAATGCTCTTTTTATGTTCATAATGCTGTCAGTGAATGATACAAATGAAGAATAACCTACAGGATGCGATGGGTAAATTGTCGCCATTTTATATTTTTAATTTTGTACATGCGCATTGTTTTTGATTTTTGCCGACTGCACAGTATAGTAGGGTTAGTTGGGAAGCATCTGAGAAAAAGAGCACTATGATGCAATTCACTCTGCCAGAAATTTAGAAATGGCATGCTGTACTGGTTGGCGTTTGTGCTAGAAGCTCCAACACAAACCTTTTGGTGCATTTGCATGTCAATCTGAGGACAGTGTAGAGGATTTGGAAAGAGTTGGATGAGTCTAATTGTGATTACGAAGGTACTGCAGCTTGGAAAACTCACTCTGATCTTTTCTGATGAGAAAAGAACTCTCAAATTTGTTAGTGATGGACTCGACACAGAGACCTACATCAAGAGCCTTGAGGAGGTAGGTGCTGCCCTGGGTCAAGAGGTGGGTGGCTGCTGGAAGACCCTATGTCTTGCAACCTCCTTGATTTATTATGTGTGGGGCGCAGGTGTGTGAGAGACAAAACTTGTAACGCCAAAGATGATCTGAAGGCAAGGATTATGGCAACATTCACCAACTTAAACAAGGGGACCATCCAGAAGAGTTGCAGGAGATTGCCAATGGCAATTTTATTGAATAAATTTACTCTTTAGTATTTCATGATATTTTTATGTAATTTTGGTAAATATATCTGTTAAAAAATGAGATGTTAGTGTTCTTTTCATTTTTGCATAATTTAGACGACAATTTATCAATTACACTCTGTATATCAGTGCTTCATAAATTACACTAAAGCATTTGATAAGGTACCGCACAAAGAAATCCGAGAAAAGCCTGATTTACATGGGAAAGATATGAGAGCAATCTGTAAACTTTATTGAGAACAAACAGTCTGTATGCAGGTAGAAAAATGAGTTCAGTGAATACACATAAATAGAAAGAGCAGTAAGACAAAGATGCATTTACTTAACCTACACAGAAAGGTGATGAGAAAACTAAAAAACCTACCATGATTTAATATTTGCAGAAATAATCTTAAGAGCATAAAATAATGCAGATGACACTGTTTATGGCTGACTTATATCAACACTCTTATATGTCAGTAAATAAAGTTTGAAGAAGATATTTGAAGCGACAGATGTGATTCTTGTAATAAATACTGAGAATGCCATAGACAGAACATGAGAAAAGAAATTTTAAAGAAAATTTGAGCTACAGGGGAGCTAATACTTACAGACAACT